ATGTATATCTTTGTTTGATATTCGAGAAATAATGAGGATACACGAGTTATTTGTGTACAACGATCTTCTAGTGTTGTGTGATGAGTTATCCAGATATCTCAAGATTTATGTTGTGACGCTTGTGAATGCTAGCTTGATGATGTTCTAATGTTATGTTACCTAGACTTCATTCGATATGCAACGAGGAATAGACTAACCAAGTGTACGTTCATAATGCATATGTGATCCAGTTCTCAACCAAGGTACTTGGCAACATGGACCATTAGATGTACGTTTCTATGCATGTGTGACATGAGTCACATCCAAAGTACCATTGCTAATAAACTAGAGAGATGTGAGCTGCCAAACCTATTTGACGTCGGATTACATTATGATGTCTACTTGTGTGTGATAGATTATGAAGCATTGATGATATTGCTTCTTAATTATACTTGTTGGCATGCTCATATGATGAATGTATGTAGTACAGTAGAGTTATTTGTATGACATTGAGCTCAGCGTTAAAAATGTGTTTCTGTCTTTAGTTTTTTAAGTAAAGATTGAAGAGCACATCATCAAGTCAAATATTCTAGTCGTACGTTCTATCAGAGTACATCTTAGATTATTGTAGGGGGTTATATATTAGTCATTGATCTTCTGTTTATTTATTCATAACTCTATTCGTTAAACTTGCTATTTATAATCAATTTTCAATATTCGAATTTCCTTATTTTATAAACTTAATTATTACTATTGGGGTTATAGTGATTATGATTTATGATTTTGAGTAAATATTTTTTTTAAATAGTTAGTCACTTTGATGATTTTATGTGACACTCGAATCTCCTAAATTTAAATTGGGCCAGATTATGATGTCATAATTCATTTGTAGGAACAAAATTTATATCTTTAAGGTTATTTATTTCCTTGATTTTTTATGACAAATCAACTCTTTTAAGGAGATATTTTGCGTCTTGTGTTTTAGGAGATTTCAAAAAATGAACCATGACTTGGGTAATTTCTCAATCAATATATATATTGAAGAATATCATATATTTTCATCCTTCTAGTTAGGATGTCAGAGACCACCTTCTCGTAAGTATGCATTTGATCTATAATAGACTTATCATTAATCATCTGAAAGTTCAAACATTCTTCAATGACATACTTTTTTATTCCAACATCATATGTTATGTAACACCCTAATCCAGTTCAACCCGAAGATCTATGGATTACAATGTTTTAGATAATTCTTTAAACTCAAATAGCTTTCTTCATATTGTTCTAAATTGCTGCTAACCGTCTCAGGATTCTTTATGCTCTATTAAAAATCAGGATATGAACCTTTAGAAACTATTTTCATGTTTTAATTTCAAGAGGCCTTCTTCTGGTTCTGCTGTTATTAGGTGATTGGATCCTTCTACCGGAATGGGTTGAAATACTCAACTGTTCCCAGTGAGCCTGATACACATGAAGATTTTAGACCCGACAAATAAGGTTCAGGATTCTGCTGCTGTTTCTTTTAAGGATATTGTTGAACAGGTAGGCATGCCCTTTGATATGTTAGGTATTATATAGACAAGCAGATTGGAACTTTCTTCCCCTATGTAGCTCAGAAGTTTTCTTTATTGCATAAGCTATGGTATTGATGATTGTGATTAACTGTTATTCTAGGATGTCAAGGAAAACCCTGTGATGATTTACATGAAAGGGGTACCTGATTTTCCTCAATGCGGATTCAGCTCTTTGGCAGATAGAGTGTTAAAGCACTACAGTATGTGTTAGTTGTGCGTGACAAGAATATTTTCCTAGCATCCCTATTCGGCTTTTGATTGGTAATTAACAAGTTCATGGATGATTCTGCATTTGTTTTACCTTGCTTATGCATCTCTCTGGATATGACTCATATTCTGTCTTTAGAATAAAATTACATGATCAAAAGGATTTACACCTGCTCTGTCTTTGATGAATGCTCCATGCATGTCCGTTTAACTTGATGTATTTTTGTTTTTATTTTGATAACAAATGCATTTAGCCGATTTATGTTCTTATCAAATTTCTGGCTGATGCAGATATTCCTCTAAGTGCAAGAAATATCCTGGAAGATCCTGAGCTGAAAAGTGCTGTCAAAGCCTTCAGGTAACTCCACTTTTATGATTGTTTTACTTTGAAGGCTAACCTAACTGTGATCTTGATAAAAACAAATGAACACTCAAAACTCTCCTTTTAACCTAAGGTCCTCTCGTTTTTGTGGTTTGAACATGATACCTTTTGTACTTATATTTTTTTTCTTAGTAAAATAACTTGCTGAATGCCGATAGCCATCTGTTAATGAAGCCTGTTCTGTGGCCTGGGTGGGCTGTCTATTTTTGTTCCATCAATATTTAATGTATCTTGTGAAAAGTGAAAAATTTCTTCAGAGTTATGGATTTCTGCTGGTTGATTCTATGCCAAATGTTTCCTTTTTTTCTCTATATTAAGCTTCCTGTTGATTCTGATTAACATTTCTTATATTTTGTATCTTCCATACTCCTTGTTTGCGTTTGGTTGAAGCAAAAGTCCGCAAAAAGTGAATAAAAAATATTTTATATGGCATTCGATTCAAGACACAACTCGAGTGCCTTTTTTTCTTTTACATCCTTTTAGTTTGAACATGAGGATGTTATACTGCTCGGAGGCAAAAATATTTGTTTCAACAGTGAGGATTAGGCTTGCATTTGGTGTTTCAGCTTCATGACTTGGATATGATTTTTCATTTCTAATTGTATTTCATTTTTTTTAAGTCCATTGATGCTAGTTTTATATGGGTTGATAGATGGTATCATTGTGATCAATTTGATAGATTTTCGTCCCAGAAGCTGTTAATTAGTACTCCGTAGATGATATTCATATAACACTTCTCTATGTTATTGCAGCCACTGGCCCACATTTCCTCAGATATTTATAAAGAGAGAGTTCATCGGGGGTTCAGATATAATTCTAGACATGCACCAGGTTAAGCCTTATTGCTTTTTGCCACGCTTTGCTCAACTTGTAAAGGAACCTTTATAGCCTATTTTCCCTGAACTCTTAATTTTTCTTAGGTTATTTGTGTCGGACAATATCTTCAACATACGGTCAGACATGAATATGAGAATATGAGCTTCCAAATAGCCTTTTTAAAATATTTAACAAATCTGTATCCAACTCCAGATAATGTTGCTTATAGCTGATGCATTGGTATATGTACTTGTTTAGAATGGAGAACTGAAAGAAAAGCTCAAGGATATCTCTGGCAATCCGAAGCCCGAATAAGTCGGTACTGAATCTCAAGATTGTAGTAGGTATTTTTGCTTATTTAAACTCCGTTTGTTGCTCTCCTTGTTGACTCTAAAAGATGATAAAGATATAAGGTTCCATACGTGATTATGTATGACGAACTTGACTTGTTAAAGGCTTTTAAATAATTAGAACATTTGTTCACCTGTATTCATTTGTCCTTGTGCCATATTTTGCTTCTTGAAAATAGATTGTATATGAGTGACCAGTCCATAACAATATTGGAACAACTGAACTGATACGATCAAATTTAGAAAATAGGAAGTTTTTCTTTGTATATGGATGATAGTTATCCACCATGGATTGTTTGTGTATACGATTAGGCATGCATCCAGGTGGATTATCTCCTATGCTTCTTCGGGTTTGTTTGTCAAGACCTGTATCATTGTTATCCTCAAATGGACTAGCTTCTGTCTAATCCTTGGAGTTCGAGGAGTCGAGAATTCCATCCAAAGAGAAGTTACGAGTTATTTGAAACTGCCTAAGTGAACCTATTCCATGAGTTAGCCGCCAATCTTCAGTCCGTCATGAGACCTCTGCCAGTTATATCCCGATGACCCTCGATGGTGCACATTAACAAGCCATTAATAGGGTCCCAACCCAAAAATTGAATATGTTCGTATAATGTGCTTCAAGCCAATTGCTTTCCATTTGGACTGTAACCGTAAGAACATCATGTGTACGAGGAAATGTTTCGACTGCACCTTTCCCTTCAAATACATCCCATTGCACAACCAAATGTCAATCAGTTTCCAAGGTCATTGAACACAGCTGTTGTTATCTTCTCCTTGGATACTGACACCAAATGAAGGCGCAGTTGCACACGACATCCGGCATTTGATATAATCCGGAAACCCCATCCGTGAATCCTACCACAAGAAGATTTTAGTGCCGTATGATGATCATAAGCGGTCACTTTTGCCGGAGTCTGCATAAAGCAATTTTTCCTCACCAATTTCCATTTGCCACCGCTCAAATACCTCTTACCTTCAGCAAGTCCATTTTCGTCACACCCCTTTTCCCACCTATGCCATCCCTCTCCAGTGTTCCAGGAGAAGGTGGCTGGTCATCTTCAAGACCATCATCACCAAAAATATGACTATCATCACTTCCATTATATCAACTCTATTACCCTTCTTATCAACTTGATAGTTCGATGTATCATGGAGCTTTAAGAACTAAATATTTTCTGTTGAAGATTGCATTAAAGCAATGAAATAGTTTTCATGAACCCCTATTGGTTGATGACACATAGTAAGCTTAAATCATATCAGAATCTTTGTGTATTGAGATGGAGAAATATTCCTGAGCTCTTTCCGATATGCTTTTCGGGTGAATTCTCCAGTCCCAACCAAAGCAGTGAACATCTAAGCTACAACCGGTGGAATTATACCTGATGTTGTTAAGTTGATGTAAATTTCTCAATTATAAGACCTGTGAATGGAATGCACATGGTAGGATCAAGTCATTATTCTGTTCTTTAGATTGACGCTTCACGCAGAGAGCTAACAAGAAGCTACTTAAATTTTAGCTAAGCACAGCTTTTATATAGCAATTAGAACACTGAAACAACCGTTCATCGAATGCTCTATTCATTTACACCCTTATGCACCAGAGACATTAATTTTCTATGTGTAAATCAGGCAGATGTTCATCGTATGTTCTGTCCTGCAACTTATTTCCTATTGTCACATTGGTCCTTAAGACATCAAGAAGCCTTCACTGTAATAAATTACTCGACATCAACAACACCGGAACCGAATTCTATAACTGCTAGACAGAGCTTCCATGAGTACAGGATGCTGATATGCTAGAAAAGAAAACAAATGAAGACAGAAGCCAAATGCCACTGGTTTCAAATATCAGTATGTTTTATTAACTAATACCAAAATGCTCTGAAAGTACAGCAGGCTAGGCTATTACGATCTACACCCTACATCAGTGCCGAGAAAGGCACCCGAAACTTTATTTTAAGGATGGGTAAAAATGCCTAAAGGGGATTTAAGAAGACTACTCAACTATACCATATACCCTAACAAACCATTTTGTTTACTACCTACTTGTACATATGCAGTTTTCTCTCTTTTCACTATTATCGCTTCAACGTGCTTCCTTACTCGGCTAGTTCGACGTAAAAACCGAGTCTTTGCTATATTTAGTGCAACCCATCGAGCCCCAGCCTTGCTGTCAGCCAATTGCAGACATCATTCATCTCTTTAGGGACAGTGTAATGACCAATCCTGCACAATCAGATCAAAACTTAAAATGTTGTCTGGTTTTGAGAATTAGCAATGAGTTTATTACTGTTATTATAAGAGCCTAAATAGTTACCCTTCATAATTTTTAAAAGTGAGGTTCCGGAATCCGGCCGCACTCAAGGAATGGGCAGATATTTCTCCATATTTGTAGGGGACAACATCATCACCTGCAGATATTTCCCTTGATTATCAAATATCAACCTTTCGAGCTTCATGGATCCATGCAAAAGATAGGGTATATTCAATGGATAAGTTGCACTATTTGCTTAAAAGAGACAGAGATTGATACAAGTTCCATGGCCAAGCATGACCGGCAATGTCGCAGCGCGCCTTGCTGCTTCATGTGATCCTTCTATTTTGTTCCTTAAGTACCTGCAAGGTAACATCTTTGATGAGCAAGTACTCGAATATTTTTTTTCTTCCAAAGCTTAAGGCTTCATTAAAGGTGCTCAACTATTCTATTTTTCCAAAATTAACTGGGAACAACGTAGATGCCATACCTTGAACCTGGAAGCCATCCACTTAGTCCAACAATTGCCCTTAGGTTGATGTTGTACGGATTTCCATTTCCATACCTTCCCACAACAAAAGCAGTTGCAGAGTAAAGGGCCATTGCAGCACCCATACTAAAGCTTCCGATTCCGACCTTAACTGCCAAAACGAAACCGATAAGACAGTTTTTCATTTGAACTCATGGAGACAGACTATTCATTTGTAGATGATAAAGCTCTTCAAAATACCATCAGATGGCTCTGTTGACAACAAGTTTGCAATATGAGCTGCTGAGGCATCTAAACCCTCCCAATCATCTGGACCATCTGCTGACAACTCACCGACATCGAACCCTGGTGCAACAAATTTTGATTACATCAGTGTCAAATGCCATTGCATCACTTTACTTACAGGATATACATACACACACACATAAATAACATACTGTTTATGTCATAAACCAGATGATAGAACCATTTTTCTCTTACATGCAGTGCAAGGAAATCCCCCTAGTAAAGCCACGGGACGAGTCGGAGCAGTCGGGCAAATCCATTTTATCTGACATATGAGAATCATTTTAAGTATTGGAGGACAAAGCAATTTGTATACAGAACCAATATAAGCACACTTACATTTGGAAGAGGAAGACTTTCCAAGAGTTGGGACCAGCTGCAACATAACAGAAATAATATAAGGACTAGAAGTGGTGCTTCTTTATAATTAACTGTATATTTTCCTACATAAAGATGAGAATTTCAGCTTTCTGTAATTTCATTTGAAGTCGTATAATTTTTTATTCTTAAAGATGAAGGTGATTATAGGAATCAAATGAGTTCAGCCAAGAATCCCAAAGCCAAAACCTGCAACTTCGTCACGCTTGTCCATGCAAGGTGATCAGGAAAAAAGGAAAATAGTAAAATCAGTTTTACTTTGAATCCAAAACTTATACTTTACCTCTTTGGGATTAAAATAAAGAATGAATATGCTTTACCTAAAGGTAATGTTTTGTTAATTTGGCATGAGAAGAAAGTTTAGTTTTGTGTCCCCTTGTCTATGAACATGGAATATGCTCTTTTAAAACATTTGAGGCTTCCCAAATTAAGCTTAACATCAGATGAGACAGAAAAGGAAGAATAATACATTGAGGACAAAAAAATTAACAATGGAAATAACAGCTTGACATGGTCCTCCTACCATTAAACATGCAAAGATGTTGAAATTCTCAAACAGCTTTCATTTTCTTATTTAGTGATTCACCAACTCCATTCTATTGATACAGAGTTTGTACTTAAAATACACTGTATCTAAAGTTCTAGGCATGTTAAGGATACGAGAAACTTGAACAAATGCTTAACTCAAAATTATCATGTTACTTAAACAGCTTGTTTGTTAGTAATGAAGTGATCGATGCAAGAGTTTGTGAATCCGAACAAAGGGTTTGAATTTGATGATCAAAAGGGTCTATAGCAACAGAAAAATAAAAGGAAAAGGGAGCAATACGTTGAGCCATTGTCGCCGAGCCCATGAAGCCATACTATGGTAGCCTGGTGTTTCCCTTTCGGTCGAACCACATGTGTCCTTCCGAATTCAAATGTCCTTGCAGTTCTACTACCTAAAGATCAGCATCAATGGAGCTCAACTATCATCAGCAATATCTATATCTTACATCAATTGATGAAGTGCAATGATTCGAAATGAGAAAGAGGGTAAAACAATAAAGAGAGGAACAAACCTGAGCCCATGGTATTATGTGAATAGTTGCTCATTTTGTGTTTTCTTGAGAAACTACACTAAACAATCCACCTTATAGCAAAATCTGAGAAGATGTGATACGATGAAGAAAACACATAAGAGAAAATGACTATTTATAACCAAATGTGCAGTGTGGAAATGGAATAAAACAGACATAGACCCTAAAAATTGACTAGAAACCTCAAAGAAAATGGCATCCTTGAAAATGACAAAAGCAAGAAATCTTTTGAATATCACAGAGAGAATCCGAGCACCAGGGCAGAGCACCATCATCCATCCCTTAATAGAGATTTGCAAACACAGAGGAGAATCTATGCTTGTAGGCAGTGGCCAAAAAATAAAGCAAACAACTCAAGAGAATACTACTGTAAACAAGAAAAGAATAACCTAAATTTGAAAAAAGATTACATCTTTTCTCCAATCATTTGTTTATCAAATCTTTTTGTGATTTGATCGATACCCATTAAGCAGAAAGCTTACAAGTTTCGAACTTCCATGCATCCTTAAAATCCCTTTTTTTCTGGTGTAGTGGAGATATACAGAGTGACACTAGTTGAGTTTCATTTTGATTTCCCTTTCATCTGTGAACTTCAACTTCTCAAGGTCATTTTTTCAGAATTGTGATAAACATATATACATGCAATTACAAATGAGATTTAAGTATAAACTAACTCTTTTTTATAAAGTTTTCCCTGAATTAGCACTGCTGCCATTGATTTGCTGAGTTACAGTTGACCACCATTTTCACTAGTTTCATGTTCAATAAGTTCAGTGTTTGTGAACAAATATTATTTCATCACTTTTAACGTATGAAATAATGCAGCTGTTCATATGCAGCATCCAAAGAAAATTTATGTTTTTTTGACGAAATTTTATATACAGTCCTTGTCTGTCATATGTATATGCACTCGTCAGCTTAATCTTATCATATTCAAGATGTCATTCATCTTTAGCCTACTGGCTTCTAGCTGTAGTGCTCTATAACCAAAAATTCTCTTATTTATTAACTCTATATTTCATGTCCGTTCATGTGTATTTTACAATCATAAAGAATTTTGTTGGTTATTAAAAATGCTTTTTCCGACAACTCATTGAATGGTCTTAAGGTAAAAAGGAATCTTATTCTTCCTAGAGGATTCGAACTCAAACACGTGTAATATCAACAGAGTAGAAAAATTTCTAAACATATACTACTTTACAATTATAATGTACTATTAAAATATACCTTTCTAAAAACCCTATATTTAACTGGTTGACTACTGCTGACATGGCAAGCCATGGTTGATTAATGTGGCGAATGGAGGCATCTAATTACTTTTTAAATCAACTTTTTGAATTATTTTTATTTTATTTTCCATCCCTTCTGGGAGAAAACATTGGGCAAACTTTTTCATTGTCAACTCCTCCTTTACCCTACCATACACTCATTTGTGGCAAGAATCAACCAATAAGTATATATTAAGATATTGGTATGATAATTATATATATATATACTTATTTGACTCTTGGCTTATCATAACTGGAAAACAACATCTGTTGTTACCACCACCCTGAGTTTAGTCTAATTTGTATCAATGAATATACATTAAACCCTCAGGCTTAATTCAGTAATCATTCAAACTCTTTTAGTTGCATCAGTAGTAAAAAAAAACTATTATTTTCTTTAGAGTGCGGGTTTGAGCAGCTGCTTCTACATCAGCAGGGAGTGTATGCGTTGTCTATAGTAAAAAGAGATTATGAACATATACTATTTTGTAATCACCTCATACTATTAAAAAACATTTAATCACTCTTTAAATTAAAAAAAATATGAACTCTCCAATAAATTACTTCAAAAATCTCATCTGCAAAGCTGGCTCCCACAATTGCAGTGAAAATGAAATATTAAAAGATTCTCCTGGAGAAAAGGAATGGTGGTTTTGGTGAAGTAACGACTATGAGTGAAAAATAAACTAATGAGTGAGCGTGGGATAAAGATGGAGGTCCATTTTATAATTAATTGATATACAAGAAAAATATATAAATCAAGTGGTGATGATGCTTGTCTTGTTACCTTGATGGAAAATACTTGGCCATTTGAATGGATCTCACATAGGGTGGAGAGTAGCATTGATTCAATGCCTAGTGGAACAATAAAATAAGAAAAAAAGTAATATTATACGCTACGCGAGGGATACGAAGTTAAGAAAATACAATAAAAATCTAAAGAATACGAAATTACAAAATCTCAAGTGGTGTGAAATTAGATAATCAACAGAAAATATCTAAATTATATAAGAATTTAAATTTTTCACCGTATCCCAGTCTTCTCGATTCATCTATGTACGTAAAACACATAATAACGTAAATTAAACTTATACATTGTGAATAAAGTGTAAGCATTAGCATAATATTATCTACTGATAAAAAGGTGGGTCTCTCATCTCATGCATGAACCAGAGAGAGAGGGGAAACACATAGAATGTATAGGGTTTCCTGTCTTTGCAATGCACATTATTTTGCAATTGGAAATAATTTATTTAGTGAATGTAGGTTAAAGATTAGTGATGGAAGAGACAATCAAGCTAGGCAGTCTAATTTGATTATTCCTCTTGGATATGTTTGAAAATTTATCATGCCCATGTGACATGTTCTAAAAAAAATATATAATTTTATAAAATTTATCATGTTCTCGTAACAAGTTTCAAATTACTATAACAAATGTCATAGATTTCTAAATTCTAAATAATTTTTCACCATCCGCATTTTCCTAATTTTTTTCGCCCACAATATTTAAAAAAAATTATAGATGTAAATAATTGTATATTGATCAACTAATGATAATTTTATTATTTCATTTAAAAAATCATGTATTTAAAAGATTATTATTTTAACAGGTAACCATAGATTATTGTTAAAAATAAACCCTTTAATATATGTCTTTAATACCAAATAAAGAAAATCTTCAAAATTAAATTACAAATTATAATTGAAATAGATTAAGAATTTATTCTATAATTAACTTTATTTTTATTAACTTGGAGATTCGAGAGGCTGCTATTCCATGTAGCTTTTATCCTAGGCTCCTAGACACTAATAGAATACATCTTTTGTACTTATTTACTTATGGGTAACCTACACTGGTAACTACCAAGTTTTCAAGATGCTTTCACTTTGCTCATTAAACATTTAAAACTTGCACTTCAGTCATTAAGCTTTTAATTCGTTTTCATTAGGATCACTATCATTTGAAAATACTCACAAGACATGTTAAGGTATATTCCCCCGAATAAAATCCTAATTTTCTAAATTTAAAGTCACTAAAAATATTGAGTTTTCGATGAACGGAGTGGTTGTCGATCAATCTCGTGGTCGTCATATCACCTTTGAATTAGATGATGCTAATCTTTTGATCAAACGGATCCTTTCCACCATTGGGATTGATCGAAAACTACTCCGATCATCAAAAATTTGGCCTTGGTCAAGGCTGTAAATTTAGAACCCTAGGATTTTTCAGAGAAGAAGACTTCAATATGTCGGATCAGTAATTCTTAACAATAGTGGTCATAACAAAAGTGAATTAAAAGTATAGTGATTATAATATAAGTTCTAGAAGTTCAATGTCCAAAGTGAAAGTATCTTAAAAGTTTAGTGACTACCGGTGTAGATTTCCCTTTATCTATTTATGGAAACCATGCAGGGAGGCAAATTGCCGTGTGGAAACAAGCCCTTAAAAAGAAGGTAAGTTGCCGTGTGGAAGAACCCCTTAGAAAGAGAGAATATGGAGATTTTGGCACCTTCATCAAAGATTGTGTATATTCCTTGTTAATGGTTTGGAAAAATGTTCTCTTCTCTTTTCCGGTTTTCCCTTTTCTCACTGACAGATGGTGAGCCTACCTATGATTTATGAGGTCCGGACCCCTAATATTTTCAGATAATTCTAAGGAACGACAGTGTAATAAAAGGCTAAAAAATGGCGTAACCAAAAATATTTAAAGGAACTTAATGAAATAGGCTAAGCATTGTCGGAAATATTAAATTAAGTGTAATATATTAAGTTCCATGTAGTCTAGGAAACAAAAGAATGGCTTAATCGGGTAAGTTATATTACCGGTTAGTATCGAAACAAAAGAATGGCTTAATCGGGTAAGTTATGTTATCGGTTAGTATCGAAACTGAGGACCGATTATTGTTATAGGTTGAAGGAATGGGAATTGATTGTTGTTAGTAAACCAGGCGAAATGTGATATTATATGTTATAGGGGAAAATTGAGTTGTAGATAATTTTATAGGTTGTACATGATAAGTGACTGTACTGAACCGTTATTGATATAAACGGTTATGAGAAGCATTTAATGTTATATTTACATAACAGTTTATAACAAAAATTGCTGTTGAAATCTGTTTTGTATTGTAATAATTGAATGTAAAGGAAGAAGATAAAGAAGAAGATGGAATCAGTCGATGAAATGAATGAAATGGGAATTTTTGACATGGAAATCATGCTTCGAGAAGAGGGAGAAGATGTTTTTCAAGACCAGGATACGACTGAGACATAAGGAAGGCCGAAGAAACCAATGTGCGCATATATACATTTTTAGTAAGTGACCATGTATTTGTCTGCAACTTGTTTGAAAGGTTATTATTGATTAAAAGTATAATAGATAATTATATTGATGAGAAATTGAAATGTTTATAGTTTGAAGGAATGTAGACGTTTGGAGGGAGTTTCAAAAAATGATAAGAAGATTGGTTCTGTTTGTAAGTGAATTGAATTGAGAATGTTATAGAGATGGATTGTTATTAACATTATTGATAAAGCAACGTTGATCGCAGGTGAGAAAGGAAGCGATGACAAAATAGAAATTGATGAGAGAAAAGGAGAAAAAACCTTATGTAAAAATGAAGGAGAAACAAACAAAAGTTTATAACGCATGGGTGAGTGGACATGAGAAAAAGGTATTCTGAATATTTTCAAGGAAAAAAGTAAATTTTTAAATGTTTTGTATAACATAACATAACACAATTTTTAGTTTTTAAATAAATGTAGGAAGTGTTTACAAGATTTCATGCTTTGATGGAGGACTTGAAAGGAAGGGGAAACCTCGATGTTGTGAAAGAATTAGGTTTTGAGAGTTTGATTGAGGTAAAGGGACAACAAATCCATAGGGAGTTGTGTCGGGAGTTGTTTGAGAAATTTGATACTAAAAATCGTATGCTTCATTTTGGTGGCTATCATTCTCCTATGGGGGTTGCACAAGTTGTAGTCGTGTTGGGGTTAAAAAATGAAGGGACATGTATTGAAGAAGTTTTTTAGAGGGAGGAGTGGAAAGAACAAAGCAGTTAATATAAAGCCAAATGTTACATTAGTTAAGCTTGAGGCTAAGATTAAAAGCAGAAAATTTGTTGGTAATAATCTGAAGGCTAGAGTTTTATTGTACGTTCTTGGAATATTTCTTGCCCCAACGGGTGATACATCCCTAAGAACGGACTATCTGAAGCTTCTGTGTGACGAAGGGATGAAAGGAAAATTAAATTGGGTGAAATTCGTTGCAAACAAATTGATAGAGGCAATAGTGATTTTTCAAAAGCCCGAAATACACAAATACTTGCAAGGTTGCCTTGCAATATTAGAGGCAATATTGATTTTTTTTGTTAAAATATTTATTTAAGTGAATGGAGTTGTGGAGGTAAATTGATTAATTTCCTTTGGAATTCAGATTTTATTATTTGATTTTTGGTCGAATTCTACAAGTGTCCTGACCTACCAAAAAAATGAGATTCAATGCAACTTTGCATAGGGCAAGGATGAGGTGGTGCGAGTTATGAACAAGCTAAAATCGAAAAGAAAGACAAGGAAAGAGAAATAATAACAATGAGGTTTTGTTATGAATCATTGAATAACCTTGTTTAACATTGTACTCTAATTTTGTAGAGTGCTCCGGTGGAGGAAGAGAATATTGGAGAGAAAGATGGTTGTAAGGGGACTTCCTTGAATGAGATTAGGAAAGACAAACATGACGTGGTAATGTCTGAGTTACTACAAATAAAATGAATTATTTTAGAGGTTTGTGATAGACAAATGAGAATGGAGGAAGTGATGGATAGCCAGAAATTCGATGGGAAGGAGTTAGGTAAGAAGAATAAAGTCAGTTTCGATGGCATGTCAGAAGAAGTTGACAAGATGAGAAATGAAATGAATGAGGTGATTACTGCTATTGGTGAAATTGGGGAAAATGTCTCGATGGGTTTAGGGAACTAAGGGAAGAAATTACTGAGATAAAGAACTTTTTGTATCAATTGACAAGATTTAAATAGATAAATATCGACATTAACATATCAAAGTTCTGATATTTTCGAATCCCAACTTATCTTAAACGGTTTTACACAAAAAGGTATCGAAATTATAAAATAAAGTATCGTTATTTCATATTACGATCGATTCTTTTCACACTCTCTCCATGCAACCGTGTTTCTCAGTGTAGTCGTAACATTTTAAGCTTTTTCCTTAAAAGATAAAAAGTATCAAATATTGCACAATACATATCAATATTTTCAAGACAGTTGTAATCTTTCACTTCTTCATTATTTTAACTTATCGATAATAATATTCAAAGTATCGATATTCTAACATTCGAACTGCTTCTGCTTTTCGTTATTCCCAAAATCTATTTTATGTTAATACACAAGTTGACATTACAAGTCGTAATATATTTCCTTTAGAACCGTGATATTTGGGGGTGCAACCATATATATATACCAAATCTTAAAAGTTTATGCTCTTAACCTATTTGATTGTTGTGGGGAACGCCAAGGCTCCATCAGCTAAAACTTTCATAATACTTTTGCTGCAATCGTTTTTATTTTTTAAAATGATAATATTCCAGATTGCAACATGCTTTCTTTGGGGACCATGACATTCTGGACGCAATCTATTCTATTAATACACAAGTAGACATTAGAAGTCGCAACCTATTTCTGTTAAAGCCGTGACACCGTATCTATATACCAAATCGTAAAAGTTTGTGCTCTTAACCTATTTTATTTTCGTGGGGAACGCCAAGACTCCATCAGCTAAAACTTTCATAATACTTTAGACGCAGTCACTTCTATTTTTTTAAATGATAATATTCCAGATTGCAACATGCATTCTTTGGGGGCCATGACATTCTGGGCGCAATCTATTCTATTAATACAGAAGTTGACATTACAAGTCGTAACTTATTTCCTTTTGAACCGTGATATTCTGGGGTGACACCTTATCTATATACCAAATTGTAAAAGTTTGTGCTCTTAACCTATTTGATTGTCGTGGGGAACACCAATTCTCCATCGGCTAAAACTTTCATAATACTTTAGGTGCAATCGTTTTTACTTTTTAAAATGATAATATTCTAGATTACAACATGCTTTCTTTGGGGGCCATAACATTCTGGGCACAATCTATTCTATTAATACACAAGTTAACATTACAAGTCGTAACCTATTTCCTTTAGAACCATGATATTATGGGGCGCAACTGTATCTATATACAAATCGTAAAAGTTTGTGCTCTTAACCTATTTGATTATCGTGGGGAATGCCAAAGCTCCATCAGCTAAAACTTTCATAATACTTTAGGTGCAATCGCTTTTATTTTTTAAAATGATAATATTCCATATTGCAACATGCTTTCTTTGGGGGGCCATTACATTCTGGGCGCAATCTATTCTATTAATACATAAGTTGACATTACAAGTCACAACCTACTTTCTTTAGAGTTGTGATATTTTGGGGCACAACCGTATCTATATACCAAATCGTAAAAGTTTGTGTTCTTAACCTATTTGATTGTCGTGGGGAATGCCAAGGCTTCATCGGCTAAAACTTTCATAATACTTTAAGCGCAATCACTTTTATTTTTTAAAATGATAATATTCCATATTGCAACATGTTTTCTTTGGGGTCATGACATTCTGGGCGCAATCTATTCTATTAATACACAAGTTGACATTACTAGTCGTAATCTATTTCCTTTAGAACCGTGATATTCTAGGGCACAACCATATCTATATACCTAATCGTAATACTTTATGCTCTTAACCTATTTGATTGTTGTGGGGAACTTTAAGGCTCCATCGGCTAAAACTTTCATAATACTTTAGGCGCAATCACTTTTATATTTTTTAAAATCATAATATTCATGCTTCTAGAATTTAAATTAATTAAATCTATCACGTTATTTAAAACTTGTTCTATTACTTTGACTCATAATTATTATGATTCTGAGTTAAAATATTGTAGTTTGCACTTTTAACTTGTAACCCTTTCTACCTGTCACATCGTTAATTAGCCTTATTTTAGGCGCCGCACACCATAACCCCTAATAATCTCACTATTTTATTGGATATATTTCACATCTGATCTAAGATATTGTTAAAAAAACTTTCTTCAAATTTGATGGACGATAAAGCCAAACTCAGAAAATATGTATATATAAGTTTAAGTTGTCGAAACTTCAGTGGTTATTTTGTAATTTTTTAAATTTAAGTGACTAAAATAAAAACCTTTTACAATTGATTTTAGGGTAAAGTATACAAATGGTCCCCGACTATAAGATATTGCTTTATTAAGTCTCTCGACTATTAAAAGTAGTGTTGTTTTGTTGAGTCTCTTAACTATTAAAAGTTAAAAAATAGCCATTCGATTATTCATTATCGTCCTTTTTCGTTAAAAAATTGACGGTCGTCTGAGTTGGAAGCTAACATGATGACTGCAATATGATAATTTTTTGAGATTTTATGATCATATTTTATCATATCACAGCCTGTAGATTACCATTCAGCTCAGAATACCGTAAAATTTTATCGGAAAAGGATGATTTTTGGGAATAATAAATAGACGTGTGACCATTTTGTAACTTTTAATAGTCGAGGGACTCAATAAAGTAATATTTTATAGTTGAATGATCATTTTATAACTTTTAATAGTCGGATGTCTTAATAAAATAGTAGGCCATAGTCGGGAGACCATTTATATAATTTACCCTTGATTTTAATGTGTTGTTTTTCATGGATACAGCCAAACTGCCATGTGGAAAGAGAAAGACGTGAAGGTATACGGAGGTTTGTTAAATATCTGTCTCGGCACGTTCAATGAGATTGTGGCATATTCCTTGTCAATGACTCAATGGAAGGGGAAACGAGTGAAATATGTTCCATCTCTTTTTACACATCTCGTAGTTTTATAATACTATTATTTTAAAATTCTGTAATTTGATCTCATTTTAATTTAAAATAATATAATATTTTATTAATTATTTAATACTTTTTATTAATTTTGAGAATAATTTAATATAAATATTAAAAAATTATTAAATTATTATGATAACTTGATAGAATATATAAATTTTAAAATTAAAACCATTATCGGATTATGTAATATCATCATTTTTATTAAATCAATAATCTTATTAAAATGATGGAATGCTAAAATAGGAAAAAAAATACAAGTTAGATGTGATTTTGAAAAGAAAAGAAAAACAGAATATAACGTTAAATATGATTTTGAAAAGAAAAGAAAAACATAATATAACGTTAAATATAATTTTGAAAAGAAAATGACTGAGTAATCTAAACAAAAATCAGAAAATAGATTGGGTATAAAATAAGAAAAGTTTTTAAAATCCTCAAATAAATAAATAAATAAATATATCTTGGCAAATATGCATAAAGCTATTGCTAAGGCAGAGAAATTGAGCATAAAAATTATTAAAAAATTAATTTTTTTCCAGAAACCTACAAAGGGAAGCAACAGTGAAAAGGAATTGTAGTAGTAACATAGAATCCAAATGCTTGAAACAATACAAATACGATGACATTATCCTTCAAAACTTGACAATGGAAGTTCACTGTTCGAATGGAAAATGATGGACATAGATCTATTTATTTATTCGCCGATGCATTTCAAGTTAACTAAGTAGATCTCATGCTTGTGTATCAGTCTTAAAGTACCACTTTGCCCAAAGAAGGTGCACTGTATATGAAACATCAATCCATCATCTTCTGCAATTTTATTCCAACAGGAAAAACCTGAAAGCTGGAGTTAGTGATGATCATCGTCGCCGTGTCCGTCTGGAGGTCCTCCAGGTCCCACAACTTCCAGCTGCAAAACAAAAATGTGAATTATTAGAGATGTCCTACAATGCTGGAAACAAACGAGAGCTGTTTCTCGATTGGTTAAACAAGGCTGGAGCTAACGAGGGTTGCTTGAGAATATACTAAAACTATTTACGAGTTTCGCAATGCTCCAAATCATTAGAAATTTAATTCAAATCTTCAAGGTTTTGGCTAAATCCATCTATGGGCTGACAGAAATACCTAAATGGGATTCAGATCGAATGAATGCAAGTGCATTGACATTTACATGCAACTCAAATACATCAGCACAAGATTATGACATAAGGAGTGAATGTTCTCTGGTTCATGATATCCGCTTACCACAAAATACTGCGAGCAAACTGGGCACTCGTGTGGCTTGCCTTTCTCCAGCCAGAACCAGACCACATCATGCTCCTCCTCTGGCATTTTTTAACAAAGAAAATCAAATGAACACAAGTACTGTTAAGAAGAATGACTCGATTCCGTACAAATCTGAGAGAAGCATACAAGAACCTAGAAGTGCAGAAACAGAGAATTGATGAAGCGAACATACCGCCTTCACCTCCTGGGCAGCCAACTATTCTCTTGTCATAATAGGACTTGACAACAGCAGGAGCATCCTACAGGCAGATAAAATAACTTCTACCATCAAAAACCAAGTCATGACATCACTCTTATGATTTCAGTAAATGGTCAAAATTCCTGGTTTCTAGCAGAATAAAAAGAATAACTGTAAATAACGTTTCAAACTAAAAATGATAAATTACATAGAAGATTATTTCTTAGCCATGATCCGACATAAATGGACAAAATACTGCAGTACATCAATATGAAGAAAAAAACAGAATTAAAATCAATTTTTCCTCCTGCACTTTCTACGATGTCGAGAATATTCTAGTTTCCCAAGAAGTGATACGACTATCTAGAAAGCAAATTAAACCGTGCCATTTTAATGTTGCTGAAAAGAAAATATTAGAGAATAGAGACCCGGGATTGGCATATGGATTTTTACACACCATGCCCCATGGAGGGTCAAGGTTCACAGTTCAAGAGTCCCTACCACTCAGGCCTACTCCACCCATGACCAGAGGCCCAGAAGAGAAAGGATCAAATAGAAACTTACTTGAGAAAAACTAGGTTAAAGGAATCATACAAGTTACACCAAAAGTCATTAAGCCCAAGATTGAATTAAAAACCAAAAGATAACACTCTAGCAAACAATCAACAGATACTGGAATGAACCATTGGAAATTATTTAATAACATTGACAAAGTATGTTGCCAAAAGTACCAAAATAATGCAACTGGTAACATCATTTTTGCAAACATGCACTCACACCATGAAAGTGTGAAACATCTAATCAAATATCCAAGGATAAAAAAGTAGTTTCAGTATAAATCAACGACAGGTAAACAATAAACCCATTTAAATATAAGGGCACAGATTCCAAGTACTTGAAGCCATCAGAAACCAAACAAAGGAATAAATGCAAATGCAAGAAAAATGTAGTAGTAATTCATAGCAAAAAAGAGGGAATGATCATCAGTATTTCAACACCGTAAGCCATCGGTTCCATATAAGATGATACAGACATGATCAAATCAATCAGTGTTCCTCAATTGTAATAGACTGTGAGAAATATTCGCAACTAACCTTTGTGCCAAAGGAACCTACAGGATTGTTCACATCTTCAAGGATTTTCTTTCCCTAAACAAGATGACACAAAAAAGAAAAACCAGAATGAGAAAGCAACATAGTGTTTAAAACAACACAGACAAATCGAATCTTGAATCGTAGCAAAGTAACACCAGAATCCAGAAGAAAGTATAACAGAGAGAGAGAACGGAAAAGGAAAAGTAACCTGGAGCTCGGACTCAAGCTCCTCGCGCTCGTGACCAGTAGCAATAGGCATTACATCCTCAACTCTTTTCTTCACAGAAGTATCCGCTACACAATCCAAACCAATCGAAATAAAAAACAGCAAAAACAAAATCGGGAAAATCAACAAACACTCAAACAGCAGTGTTTTCCGGTATAAACTAAACCTAGCATAACCTCTTCTTCTAATTTCGAAGCACAATAATAAATGATCTAAAATATTCATACGGACAGCAAATAACTATTTAAACGACTATCAAAAGGAAGCAAAGCTTGAAATATATTAAAAAAAATGAATTGCGGACGAGGATCTGATGAAACCAAGGTTACCTGACTCGGCGGAGAAACGTCGAATGAGGAGAGAAGCAGAAGAGGAAGGAGAAATGTGAGATTTGAATGGAAGAGGCGCCGTTTTAGAAACGGCTCGGCATGGAAGTGCGGATAGAGATTTGAACTGTGAAGTGAGTAGCCTTCTCCACATATTTCGGAACTCAAAGGGATTTTGCTCGGTTGCTTTGGTGATCTCAGGTCTCGCCCAGGTCAAGAAAAGCTACTGCAAATTTGTTTATTTGTTAATGGGGTGTCAAAGGAAAGGGGAGGAGGCTGCAGATGATGATGGATGGGGTCTGCTATTGGTTTATTTGGGTTACTGGGCGCGTGCTGATTTCGTTACACGTGTGCGGTTTGGGGGAGATTTTCGGGTTTCCGGTGCGGTTCGCGTTTTAATTCTCAGGCTCCGGTCAAGTGTTGCCCCTACAAGTTTTAATCTCGGCAATTGCAGCTGTTGGTAAATTTTTATAAATGTTAATTTATTTTTGTTTATTAAATTAAATAAATAAATAAATAAAAATAAATTTCTTTTATATTTTTAATAAATAAATAAGTACGAATAGAGGCCTATTCGGTCCATTTATATTTCAAATATTCTCGTTTATAATCTTTATTTATCTGGTTATCCTTTCCCTTTTTTAACATTTTCTTACATTTTAAATAGGGTAACTTACCCGGGTGGTTAGTTAACTATTGTCTCCCTTTTATTTTGATCATCGATATTTTGATTTTGTCAATTAGACCACCTAATTATTTAAATGGTTCAATCAAACTACATGCCGTTAAAATTTAACAGAGAAGATGATGTGATTGTTAAAAATTTTAGTATCATTGCACATTTCATATCTATTGCTTATATATTATATCGATTTGGTCCTAATTTTAATAAATTAACATGGATCAAATGTGTAAGTATATCAAAAAATTTAATCGCCACATCATCTTCTCCGTTAAATTTTAATGGCATGTGACTTGATTAAACTATTTAAATATTTGGGTGGTTTGATTGACGAAATCAAAATATTGGTGGTCAAAATGGAAAATGACAATAATTGAATGGTCACCCATTAGTTGACTCTTTTAAATATTAACGAAAGTAGGAACTAAATTGAACACATGGTGAATTTTAGAGTTCAAATTGTGAAACCTAAGAAACATAAGAACTAATGACATAATTTCATCATTTTTCTGATCATATAAACAAACGTGTTCGCAAATTTCTTGACGAACACTAAATGAACATGTTCGTCAACATTAAACAAACATGTTTATGAACGCTATACGAATTAAACACCTTAAAAATAAACAAATGAATACAAATTCAAATATAAATACTTTAAAAAAATAAACATAAACACAATCTCATTCGTTTAAACTTATTCATTAACACATTGTTGTGTGAGGACCAAGTGTTCCTTCTCTCTCACTTGCTAACCAATTGAATCTTGGCAATAACTCATTACTTCTTACTAGAATTGTAAACAAGTCAAGTCGAGTTCGAGTATTACTGAGCTTGATTCAAAAACTTTAAAATGGAGTTCGGCTCGGTTTGAAAACTTGCGAGTTTAAAATTTTCAAGTTCGACTCAAATTCAAAAACCATGAATTAAAGCTCGTAAAAACTCGAAATGAAAAAAAAAAATCTTAAACTTAAATCGATTAAAGTTTCAAACTTAAATTTGAATCTAAACCTTAAATACATGAAAATTTTATACTACATTAAAAATATATATATATAAATGTTAATATTATTAATAATTTATTTATTTTTAAATAAAATATTAATATATTATATTTTTCTATTGTTCGTGAGCTTTTCGAGTCGAGTATCAAATAACTCGTTTCGTATTATTAAGAATTCTAGTCGAGCTCAAGCTCGAGTTGAATCCATTAAAGTCGAGTATTATCGAACTTTAACCAAAATAATCTTAAATAACTCACGGTATATCTCGTTCCATTTATAACTACTGTCGACTTAAATAACTCACAAAATATCTTGTCTCATTTATAGTAATATTATAGCTATTGCTGACTCACAATTTCCATGTTGAAACATTAAGCCCATCACTTCTCATTTTCATAGTGTTTCCTTCTCTACCCACTTTCTGCATCTTCAACCCTCCTTTGATCTGTTTTAGAGAATGAATACATCTTTAATATTTCCATGATTATTTAATACCTTCTGAAATCCCTTTCAATGTAATAACTAAAAATATTTTTTCTTATGTTTCGGTAGGAGATCATTTAAAATAACAAAAATATTATCTTATCTATAAATTTGAATAGTTTTAATTTGAATAAAATTGCAATTAAAATGAATATAAAGTGTAATTTAATATTTATCAGATTTTATCTATTCAAATTTTATATTTATTTGTAATATAATAATAAAATTAATGTTTTAAATTACAATGAAATGTAGTTATAGTTGAAGATGAAGTATAATTCAATATTTAATTCTAATTTATATATTCAAACATTTTACTTAGTTTTAGTATAATAGTAAATTTATTTTTAGTTTTAGTATAATAGTAAACTTATTTTCTTCAGTGCAAATAAGAAATAATATAAAATAATATATATATATATATATATAAATTATAATAGTTTGAAATTAAATGGAATGGAATGTAATTAAAGGTTTTTTAAAGGGTAGTTAAATAAAATATAATTTAATATTTAAAGTATTAATTTAATAATAAAAATAATTAAAATTATAATGTAAATATAGTTTGAGATAAATATATATGTATCTGGTATTTATTAAATATATATATTTTTAATTTTAATATGCATACATCGTCCTATTTTTTAATGTCGATAATAAATTTAAGGGTAAAATATATATGATGTTGTTTTATTAAGTTCTGAAATATTAAAAGTAATAAAATAATATCTCAATTATAAGGTGTTGTTTTCTTAAGTGTCGACTATTAAAAATTACAAAATAATCATCTAATTATAAAGTGTTACTTTCTTGAGTCTTTTGACTATAAAAAGTTATAAAATGGTCACTCGACTATCCATATATTCCAAATTTGTTATTTTCTATTAAAAATTGACGACAATTTGAGCTTAATGTTAACTTGTTGACTGAGATATGATAAAAATTGATCTTTGAATCTCAAATGACTATCGTATCTCAGTCATCATGCTAAAGTCCATCTTAGACGACTGTCAATTTTTTAACGAAAAATTACGAGTTTAGAACATATGACAAGTCAAGTAGCCATTTCATAATTTTTAATAGTTGAGGGACTAACAAAATAACGTCCTATAATTAGAGAACCATTTTGTAATTTTTAATATTAAGAAGATTCAACAAAACAATACTTTATAATCGGGAGACTATTCGTATACTTTACCCCAAAATCTAAATTGATAATACTATAATTACTGCCAATAACATTGAACTGGTACAATAGTTAACAATATTTTGTCAACTTTTGACATACTGAAACTATTAAATTAAAATAGTTTATTTCTTTATATCAGGAGCAAGCACATTTAATTGGTTCATTAAGCAGCTATTAATTTTTATTCTTTTATATTTTTTAGATAGTGAATTCTAGACTCATTCGGAGTTATTTTATTTCTTTTTTTTTTAAATTTTCCCTCCCTTCTAGATAAGTTTAGATTTAGAATTAAAAAAATATAGTTTATCAAATTAACAACAAATTTAAAATAGGGATAAATCCTAATTTTGGCATAAAATGAAGGACTAAAACATAAAATAACAAATAGTTCTATACATAACCAACGTTACCAAGCAATGAACAGATTAGGACTCTCTTTTTATTCTATAAATAACAAATATTTCCTTCTGTGTTTTCTTCCTAAAAATTCAATTCAGCAATCTATTTTCATTACTGAAAATCATATTGACCAATCATGAGATTCAGGAAAGGTAGCAAAGTCGAGGTGTTAACCAGGACCGAGGTTCCAACCGGCGCGTGGCGCTGTGCCGAGATTATCTCCGGCAACGGTCGCACTTAGAGCGTGAAGTCCGGTTGGTTTCCGATCACCGGCGAGGCAGCGCCGGTGGAGAGAGTATCCAGGAAAGTGATCAGGCCTTGTCCTCCCCCTGTAAACAGGACCGATGATTGGGTTCCTGGCGACGTCGTGGAGGTGTTCGACGAGTTGTGCTGGAAACCGGCGGTGATCGTTAGAGATTTCGGGGGGAACAACTTTTCCGTTAGGCTTATTGGATCGAATAGAGTACTCAGAGCACATGAATCTCGTTTGCGTGTACGACAATCTTGTGAAGATGGCAAATGGTTCCTTGTTGGAAATGTAATTCTCTTTAACCTCTCTTTAAACTATAAATTTTGATACGTTTCTTTACTTTCTTTGCTGGACTTTATTGATTCTTTCGATAACAGGTCTCGTCGAGTTCTTCTGGACCATCATCGAAGAGGAAAAGATCTTCGCCTGGCTTCTCGGATGCTGGTGGAAAAAAGACGAAGGTGATCGAAAAAGGTAGTATCGGTGGTCAGAGACTAATAGTGCGGCTTCCTTGTCCATCTTCTGAAAAGGTAGATGCGTCTCTTTCCCCAAATAATATACTGGGTGAAAGATGTACGCCTTCTTCCTTTTATAGAATTGATGATACCAGTGATACCTTGAGTTGTGCATCCTCTGTTGGTAGCTGTAGTGGTTCAGGGAATAATGGTCTTAACCTGTCTCCTAGTCATGTAAACTTTGAGGATCATTGTAGTGTTGCCGACTCATACTCCGGAAGTAACTGTGGAGAAGAAGGAAGTCCTGTTTCCACTAGTGTGGAGTTGGGAACAGATTTCCATAGGTCGGAGCTGCATGCCTATCAGAAAGCTCTGGGGGCATTGCATGCTTCTGGGCCTTTGACTTGGGAAAAAGAAGAAAAGGTGACTAACCTACGTCGTTCTCTTAATATTTCAAATGATGAACATTTGAGGGAGCTAAGAAAGTTGAGACATGATGATAATAGGTTTTCTGTTAGTTGTTGCTAGGCTTAATGAATTACATTGCTACCGGTAATGCGGTAGTTTTACTCCAATGATGTAGGTATTGTAAATATACTTGAAAGTTTCAATTTTGTAATTGATTTATTAGTTTCTTCTCTTATCTCCATGAAAAAGGCTTTTGTTGTTTAATTTAATGTTAGTTTAGATTTTGGCTCATATATAAGCATCTGTTTTACCCTTTTTCTTTTCGTTTTTGCTGCTGACCTTTTGCAAATGTTGCATATTGTTGGGCGGATATTTTAACACAGTAAATTCTATCATCCCTTGTGAACTGTCGAGTTACATTAAATACAAAGAGGTGAATTGCGATTTCCTAAATTGATTTTAAGCATATAGGAATTCAAGTTCCAGAAACAGTAACATGAATTGTATGTTCCAGTCGTTCCCAGCACATACATATTTACAACTCTATCCTCTAGAATTACTTTGACCTTGTTCATGCTCTTTACCCGCAAAAAGAAAATGACCTTTTTGTTGTTCACTAGCTCTGGGGTTTTGGAATTTGTGATGTGATGCTGGCTGGTTTATGGATTTCCAGTTTTATGTATGTGGAGCCGTTCTACATCATAACGTGATGGATGTACAATTCTTATACTTGCTTTATTTCAGCAGCATATGGAATTAATATTGAGAAATATCTTGATGCTTTCTCAGAAAATCTCATGGCCAATGTTGGAGGCATCAGTATTTTGCTTCTAAAGCCATGATGGATTGAGTATGTTATCCCTTACAGTTGACCAGGGGAAAACATCCATGGTTTATTCCAAATGAAAGCCTTAAGCCCCGGTTTTGGTATGAGTTACTTCTGAAAATATTGCAACATTTTGATTTACCTATGGAAATGCTGGTATAGGTCTTTGCATTCCTTGTTGCAGAAAAACAAGATAATCTTAAAAGCTGCCCTACAGTTAGCACGTAAATTGATACGTTGCAGGTGCAATTACAGAAAGAAAATTGTGTCTTCTTCTTTCCCCCCTGCTCCCACCCCCCAAAAAGGTACTTGAGAATTTTAGTTATATTTTTGTATCTCTAGAATGAACATATCCATTAGTGGAACAATTTTGTATCTCTAGAATATATTTTAATTTTGAGAATGAAATGCACCCACGAATGCGATGCAATAATTTACATTAACAGTTAATAATACAAAAAATGCTTATGCACCCACGAATGCGATGCAATAATAATGATGATGACGATAATAACAACAGCTAGTCTTTTAACATGTTACGTTTGCTTCCTTTGTTGTTGTTAAGATGGATTCAACTGCATTAATCAATCCTCCTTCCGGTGCTCGAGTCTGAAATGCTTACTACCCTTTATTGAATACCATGAATGAATTTGTTTTCATTTTTAAATTATAAGTTCTGCTATGCTTTTAACTTTTTCAGTAAGTTAAATGATTATCCAAATTGTATTTCAAATTTGGTTGTACTCGATGCAATTGGAATTGATTGAATGTATGAATTTATTTTCTCAACAAAAAAAAATCTTTTTCAAGAAGTGGTGGAACGAAAGAATTTCATGAGTGGTTACACTTCATTGGTTCTTATTTCAGATATGGGAACTGCATTGGTGTGTCTTGTAGTTATTTTAAGATTGAGATTGCTTTACAAACTATCAGTTGATATAGTATAATGAGGCGTTAGGTGTCATAAGTAAGGTCATGTGTTTGAATCTTGGCTTTGTGAATGGAAAAATTGGTATGGGAGTCATTCCTATAATAAGTCTCCAAGGTGTCTAATCTAGATTAGTCGACTAGTGAGTCTGATAGTTGTGGTTATATCAAAAAAAAAAGATTTGAGATTGCTTTAAGGTAGTTTGGATATATGGTTGTGTTTTATGTGGAGCATATTTGCTGACTTGGATATCATAGTTAGGACTTTATATCTCGTTTCGTTTGGGTAGGTTTTGAAGTTATGGTATTTGTTGATGAAATTGTAGTGGTTGTCAATTTAGACCTTTGGGTTCAAAGGAACATGAAACCCTCTCCCCAAGATTCTAGTCTACCCTACATGAAGTTGGATTCTTAAATAAGCATGTGTATTTCAATATTGTTGTTGTGGTCGTCTTCGTCATTATTATATGTTCTCTATGCCTCATAAAATCATATTAAAATTTTAAATATAATATTTAACTAATATATTATAATGTGATTGTTAATTTTTAAACGAATAAAAATGCCACGGTAAATAATATAAATATGAAACAAATATATGATAGTACTAAAAGCTATACAAATTATTGTATAAAATTTATGCTATATATTGATTTGTACAACACATAGCTAAACTCTATTAATATCATGATTTTTTGGATTTTATATTTACACTACTCGAGTTGGGACTCGATTAAAGATTTGATAATAAATATAAACGATAATTTAAAACGAAGATATAAATATAAAGGTAAAAATATTTTTATGTTTCCAAAATGTTCAAATACCAATAGGGAATGATCCTCTACCTGTCATTCTTTCTTTCTTTCACATAACTAATATTTTTGTTATAGACATACCGAAATTGTGATCCAAAATTTTCTTTTAAAACTGCTTGTAAATCTCTAAAATTTAGACATTATTAATGTAATATAAAAATATAATAATAAGACGGGTTTACAAATAATGAGGAGCTCCCAAAATATATCCACAAAATAATACAAAATATTGAGTTTCAAAAGAGTTACGACTTAATACATAACAAGGTTCATAATAGTACATGTCCTTTAAAGATGACTCAAGACGTACTCTGAAAGGTTTCTGAAAATCTGAATCGATTGTATTAGAATATTTGATGATGATAGCTCCCCACCATCTGCTCCCTAAGAACCTGCGCACGGAAACACATTCCGAACGTTGAGTTTACGAGCTCAGTGCCTCACTAGAAACTGTACTATATTATATGCATTCACTACATAAAATGACAAGTGGCACAGATCTGAGTATACAACTACTGGACTGTTAATATGTGGTTGGAATCATGGTGCGACTGACGGATTCATGCATCTCAGAGCTTACACACCCCTCTAGCATTGTCGAAGCACCATCGGGTACTCCTAGGTGAGATTTAGAATTCTGCATCGGAATGTACACCTACCGACTTACTCCGTCGAGTCTTGGGGCATATGGCGCCTAGTCGGCTGTTGTAGTGTCGCGACACTGACTTGGATCCATTGATTGTCATATTTCTGCTAAAAGGAACTCGGGTGTCCTGATCGTTTCTCGAGCGTCAAACAAGGCTTGCCCAAGAAGAAGAACAAGTTTCGATACTATCCCTCTAGTATTAAAACTCAACATGCAGAGAGCATAAAATATGTGCAAAAAATCATATTCTATTATCCCAAAGACCTTAGTGAGCTCCCCAAACATTATTAATGTTTTATGAAGATACAAAGGAACATAAATAGGGCTTTAAACATGTTTATAACTCTAAAACATGAAATCTACCATGGGAATGCTTCAAGCTTATGCAACCTACTACATTTCACCTAAACGAAATACATACGGTATAGTTGAGTCAAGAGTGAGTTACCTTTGATGCTATATTGCTGGAAACGTCAAAGGTTCAGCCCGAAGTAAAATTTTCCTTCCCCTTAGCTTAGGAGCCTTCTCCAACCTCTTGCACTAAACAAATCCAAATGCAAGGGTTACTAATTGTTGCTAGGGATTAAGGAGAGTTTTAAAACACTTCCTAAGGCTGAAAATATCTGAAAAATGGGTTGGAACCATCTAGTTTCTTAAACCCTTCTAAAACTCGTTTTTACAACTATGGCCAAAACTTGATCTTAATGCCTCAAATGAAAGCTCAAGAGGTGTTGATTTTGATTCTTACATTGGTTTGATGAAATAGTCTGAAACTAAACCAAAACTTTCACCTTTGCTCAAGAGAAGGATGAAGAAGAGGAAGAAAACTTTGGAGAAGAAGACAAATGTGAAGAAAAAGAGAAGCTGGAATTCAGACGGTGATATCACCAAATTTTAATTGGTTTTCAGCCTTTACTTTGAATAATGGTATATCTGATTCCTGGGTCCTTCTGATTTTAGTTGTAAGCTAAAAATACCCTTTTTATCCACAATTGGACTCAATCCAAGTCCAATTCCACTTATTCTTGGGTCAAGGCTTCTTACAAGCTAGAGATTTAACCCAAGGCTTATCTCGGGTTAACCCAAAACTTCTAACTCGAGATCTGGAACGTTACAAACCTCCACCTTCATCCAACAACACTATCAAAAGTTGCATTTGAGATTGTAAATCGTTACTTTGAAGAAGATTTGGGTCTTGGATTTCAGCATTATCACCACCTTATAGTCATCGGCGATACCAACATACCCGAATCCGAGTATGGTATTGTCGTTATAGTCGTATCCAGGGATGGTATCATGATCCGTGGTTATATCTTCATCCGATGGTGGCAAATAATGTCATTTTCTGGTTGATGGATTCCATATAGCAATGCCCAGCTTCACAATGATATAATGCAAGCAATCCATTGCAAGAACCTGATAACACTGGAGCGTTACTTGGTGGTTTCAGCTGTAAATAGGCGAGGAAACTGCATCAAGTGGCTGAGGGAGCCGAAGTCCACTGAATAAGCATTATCGTCGTTCTCATTATGATTATCGAGGAAAAGCTTGATGTTGGTGTTGGTTTTCAAGGACTGATGGAGATGGAGTTTGGCAAAATGTGAGCAGTCCGGGGATAAGATCGGTTGGAAAAGGAAGATTATTATCAGTTTCAGTTACACTCTTTTACATAGTAAAAAATAAATCGACTCCGGTACTTATCTTCAATCTCGATTATTAGATTACTAAAATTCAGCTTCCTCCATAGATAGAAGTTTTAAGCTCAAATTAGACTTTGACAATTATCATACTGAATTCAAGTTTTCAAACCCAACTCGAGAGGAATATACAAGGAAATTTGAATGGAGAGTTCATTTTATTTCCGTAGAGAAACAAGGAGCAAACAACACACACCCATCATAATCCTACAACCTGGAAAGCAAAGCTGAAAAAACACTTGTTGAATGCCCTTGACAAATTCAATACTATGTCGTGCATCGGGTTCCTTATCCCCTCTCTGGGGTGTTCCCTTCCTTGCCGACTTGAAGGGTCTGGAGCTTACGGTTAACCTCATCAGCCACAGCCTTCACTTTCGGATTCGGTGCATTTCCAGGTACTGGTTCACTCTCTTGACGAAACACTGGACTTGTCTGCCATATTCTAATGGTACCATCTTCAGATCCTGAGGCATAGGATTCCCCTGCAGGTGCAAAACGTACACAGTGGACAGGACCGTGGTGACCCTTGTTGCAACCTACAGTCATAAAAGAAAATGAACTCTTTAACAATCTGAAAAACACCCATAAGAAAGAACATACAATCAGTTTCACACACTAAATAACACAGCTCATCTGCTCGATTGGATCCACCCAGTACATTTCCCGGATTTTTATATATTTTTTTAATTTTTTGACTAGCAGCATATTTATCATTCTATTTTTTTTATAGGAATATTTATCATTATATTGAGTTTTTGTTTCAGTGTGTAATAGGAAACATGTCGTAATGCACCCTCGTGAGGCTTTCAAAGACTGCCAAAATGGTCAACTTTTGGCATTAGCTAGTATTGAAGCCCCAGACATACAGTCTATATGTCTAAATTGATATTTCAGTTCATCTTACAAACTCAGGAGGCACATACTAAGCACTTCTCCGGTATGGAAATCAAACATGCGCACCCACATGTCTTCTCCCCCAGCAATGAACTTATTGCCGTTCTTTGGTTCCAGTGAAGCTGATTCTACATTGCACGGCATGTTGTAGCTTTTAACCAACCCAAAACTAATAAGAGCAAATACAAATGTCAGCGACCATGGTGGGAAAAGAACAAAGCTTTGCACAGACAGTCCAGCTTAGAACTTACTGATTTGAATTCCAGAACTTAACAGTAGATCCATCAGCTGTGGTTATATAGTGACCATCACAACTCACTTCAACACTTGTGACAGGTGATTTTGTCTCAAGTGTTTGAACAGTTTTGTCACTTCTGAGATCCCACAACCTATAGAGGTACAAAGTTGAGGAAATCATTTTTAGACAAGCATATAATTGAGTGAAAATCAATGCTTCAGTAAAAATGACACAATGAATGTTTTCCTTAACATCTGTAATTTACTTTTAATAAACTAGTGCATCAAAGGTTTAAGAATACACCAAACAATCAAATGTGGAAGACATGGTTTTCAGTATGCATGCATGCATGCATATATATATTTATATATAGGTAGGTAGATGATAGATCAGTGATGGAATATTTATGAAAAGCCTTAACTAGAAGTACTACATTTTTTCTGTTTTGTTTACTTTGTAAAATCCCATCAAATATCTGAAAATTTTTACAACTTTCTAGCTGGTTATACTAGAAAACAATTTATAATGTCAACTATCGGACTAATATTACCTGCAAAGTGCCTTAAACTTAAGAAGTGATATGCATCCATTATACTAAGTCAGTGCTCAAAGCAAGCATATAATACTCTACCTATCAAACACCTCATCTCAAAGGACCTAAACTGATGATACTAATTCAAGACAATAATGGTACTTATAAAAAATATCTGAACTAAAACAAGCTCCTAACTCACAAAAGAAATTACAGAAACTACAGAAGAAAATGGGAAGGTTATAACAGATTACATTTGTACCTAACACCATTAGTATCAGTGCAAGAACTTAAAATAATCTGGTCACCGTGGAGCCATGAAACGGTTCTAATTGAACCAGGAGAATTACCCACTTCTCTTGGTGCTGCATCTAGACGATTCAAATCAAATATGCGAAGGATTTTCTCAACTCCACCCGTGAGTAGATGATGTGTATCCTGTACAAATGACAATTTACTTGGATGATGCAAACAGAAAATAGAAGGGGAAAGCAAAGATAGATAAATTTATCTTCATCTGAAGAGCGTATTAATGAACCAGGAATGAAAGTGCAAGCCTCAAGAAGTTAATTGCAATCTAAACTCAATATTATGTATCAAGTGCAAACAAATTTTTAAAATTTGTGAAAATTTGTGAAGGTCTCACGAAAAATGAAAAAGCATTCTCTGAAGCCCACTTAATGACTTTGCAACTTCAGTCCATTAAACAAAAAGGAGATGCAATTAGACCTTGCAAATGATTCAAGTGATGAAGCTACACAAGAGAAACAGAACATAGACGAAGAATGAGCATATAAAAGTATGTAAAATATTCTCAATGGTGGAAGAAACGTACACACTTTTCAAAATAAGAATTCAGACCATTGAATCAATGTAGTTCTTTCAAAGTTGGTTGCTTTGGAAGCGTTCTTATATTTGGTCAGCACACACAACCTTGATAGAACTTTACCAAATGACATCACAAGAAATACAATGTCCATGCAATAATATATAATAGAAAGAAGTAGTGCTTATATATCATCACAAAATAAAATTGCCCCTGAGAAACAAATCTGAAACAGTACTTGCTATTCAGGCCATCCCTATCAGAATTCAGAAATAACATTGCAGTGGCATGAGCATTAAATGCTGCACGTTTATAATTAGGGAAAAACAATTCTTTAGGAAAAACAATTAAGCTCTACCCCCGAAAAGGCGCATGCTCGAACAATATGCTTGTGTTCAAACGAGTGCAATTCATCTCCAGTCAACGCATCCCATAATTTCCTGGAAATATTGGAGAAAAATGATAAATTCCAGTTTTCAATCAACCATCCTCGCAGAAAATGACAGTGTATGTGCATGAGAGAGAGAGGCGTTAAAACAACGACAAGAAGAAAATTAAAATCAGCTTTTAGCAGTTCATACACATGCAATTCCCTATATTTAGAAGGAAGCATCCTTTCAATAGCAATGCACTAACAAGTGCACACCACCAATTCCAAACACTTGCCAACCAGAGAATATCTTGGGATTCTCACCAAACTTTTAACAACTAGTTAATATAGAACTCGGTGTGCGGTAGACAACAAGGATGAGATCCCTTTATTTTAAGGAGAGTGGTTAATAGAAAATAAATGCAGTGGCAAAAGACAATGGGTTGCAAAGGTGGAACTTGTTGTCTTCCCAAAAATGTAATTTTACAGCCGAATAACGATTACGTACGCAGAAAAATCAGCCGAGGCAGATGCAGCTCGTAATGCTTTGGTATCTAGACAGGAGCTCCATACTGCACCTTTATGCCCTTCAAACGTGCCAATCCAATCTCCAGTCTCCCCGTTTCTTAACATTGGAGTGGAGTCTGGATTTTCCAATGCATCATTAGAAAGAGAGCTGATAAACAAGAAGCTACACACGGTCCATCAACATCACAGTATGCAATAAAAATGGATTATGGAAGAAGAAATGATCAACAAGAACATCAAAACAAATCACATCAACAGCCTGATCAACCATAACGAGATTTCCTCCTTTCAAAATGATCATTCCATTTCAAGTTGCATAATAATTATACTTTGCATCTGGTAAATAGTAGCCAAATGTCAGCTCAAAACACAATATTTAGATACATGTAACTCGAAACCAGTCAAAGAAAAAAGGCGGTTCAAAACAGTTAAAAGAAATAAATTCAACGCCGAAAATCAATACGATCAAGAACAGGCTAAATCAATCGGAAAACCCAAACCCAATTCAAAATTCATGCATCTAAATTCATACTATGGTAAAACAAGATTTCGAAAGAAGCACCAAGAAATTAAAAGATTCACCTTTACTGGCACTGATAAGGAAAAAGCCATCAGGGGTGATGGGGCTGTAGAACAAATCAACCACCGGCCTTGAATGCCCATGGCAAACTAATGGTACAGCCACCTTTTTCTTCTCCATTTCTCCGAATTAACAAGAATACAAGAATTTTTCGAAAAATTCTACCAATTTGATCCGTTTAGATCAAATTCTTTGGAAAAAGAAAAAGGGATTTATTTTAGCTAAAACTCAAACACAACTAATCCCGTCAGAAATTTGTGTATTCAAAGCAAAAATTAATTAAATTTTTGCTTTCTCTGGACGAAGGGATACAAAGTAGGGATTGCAATTTTCTTTTTAATCTTGGAAATATTATAAGTAGCTGAGGTAATCTACATGTTTGGATATGAAAATTAAACATTTTTTTATTTTATTTTCATCAAAAATAAATTTTATTCTCAATTGCTAAATATGAAAAAGGATATAAATAGGAAGGCATTTGAGAGAAGGAAAGAACATGGGGTTAAATCGCCAAAATTACCAGTCAATGCATTTAGTTTTAAATTTAAAAAAAAAAACTTGTATATAAAATCATATCATTGTATTATTATAAATAAACTAAGTATGCACCTAAGTGATAAAAAATTATTGTCAATCTTTGACCGACAAGATCATTAATTTATGTTGATATAATAAGTTAAGCAGCTAAATCATTCGTTTTATACGGTTATAAATTAAATAAATTATATCATTCATCATTTAATTATCTCTTTTTTCTATTTTAATCATTAATTATGAATCTTTTAGTAAATTTAAAATAATTTAAGGATAAAATATTAATTTATCCATTTTCTCCTATGTTTTCTTTCCTAAACCAATCTTCCCGGAAAGACTATTAAACGGAGATTAGAAAGATCAGAACAAGGGATAACGGTAATTTGTCATTTTATCAAACAGATTGGGAGCAAAACATTGAATACGTTGAAACTCAAACCCAGCCATTGAAAAAAGAAACGGAGAGGGATTGAATTGAAAACAGGACTGACCTTCCTAGAACCAACAATTTTAGCAACCAGGAGCGGTGGTTTTTGAGTAGCCATGGATTGAATGAGAACAGGTGAGAAACTTGCAGATTTTGGTGATGATTTAAACGACTTAGGGGTTGTAATCCTTGAAGAAAACAGAAATGGGCTAGCTTAGATGCTGTAAACAGCTATGGATTCCATGTTTTGCAAATTTTCTTACGGCTATGGGTGCTTTGATTCTTTGAAAGAATCGGTTTCCATTGTTCCTGTTTTGGAGAACGAGATTGCGGTTAAGAATGCAGAGCTGAATTTAACTTTGAATGCGGTTAAGAAGTCGGAGGGATGAAAATGAGGCGTTGAAAATGGAGGAGGATGAAATGAAGGGGAGGGTTGAAGAAGAGAGGAAAGAGAGGGAGAGGAAAGTGAGATTACCAATTGATAATGGCAAGCTTCCGGTTTAACTGTTGCTTGGGAAATCCAGATATTCCAAGCTGCTCAAGTTACCAATCCATGGAGCAAACTCACTGGTAAAAACTGTTTTCTTAGAAGATAGGGTTGGGGAAGAAAACATAAGGAAAAAAGGGTAATTGAAGTTTTATCCCTGAATTATTTTGGATTTACAAAAAGACCCATGATTAGTGACTAAAATAAAAGAGAAGAGATAGTTGAATGATGAATGCATAATTTACCGAATTTATAACAGTATTAAACAGAGTTTTCTAAATTGAAGGGTCATATTGAGTAAAAGAAGAGTAGAGGCTCAGATTAATTTTATTTTATTTTTTGGAAAAGTGGACGGGGTCAGGTACCTTTTGCCTAAATTAAAAGAGGTAAAGAGGGTGATATGGGGAAAGTGGGGCCAAGATCTGGGGAGTCTTCTGGAGTCTTCCATTTTCATTTCTCTCGGTGCCTGAAAAACCTTCTTCGTTCTCCCAAAGTATCTTTTTTTCTCTTCGACGTCAGTCGCTTCAAAGCATTCATCTTTATTTTCAGGCGGGAAAATGTCGGGTAAAGGTGCGAAAGGGTTGATTACGGCTGGCAAATCCACTAAGGATAAGGACAAGGACAAGAAGAAACCCACCTCTCGCTCTTCTCGCGCCGGTCTCCAGGTTCCCCCCCCCCCTCTTTCTCAATTCTCTGCTCGAATTAGCTTCTCATATGATAGATTCGGTGAATTAGATGTGAAGATAATTTTTTATGTTTATGGATTTGATTGTTCGAATCATTCTTTAATTGTAGGCAAGATCAAGAAAATAAGTTGTTTTCTTTTGTTGATTTTATTCTCTCATTTTTCAAAAGATCGGTGTTAGTTGTTGTTGAGGGGCTGCTATGTTCGATTATGGTACATAATTTGATATTTTAAATTGTTTCGTACAAAATGAGTGTGATCTTAGAATTTGTTCATTTGTGGTTGTTAACTTGTTTCTGCTGGCTACTCTCTTTCATCTAGTGCCTTAAATTTGTATCTAATTTCCTTATTCCATTGAGCTGCAGAATTTTTTTTCTGAAGGGTTGAGACAAATGCTTAGCTAAAATGTGCAAATGTGCCATTTGATATGTTTTTGTCTGCTATTTGGGGTGTATTATGGCACTTACTATTACTACCACAGGTTTTGTAAACAGATTTCTTTTACAAGAATATGATGTTTGGTTTTCTCTCATTTCCTTAACTCGATCAGCTTAAAAGGTACACTATACATATAGTAAATTACCTGTAGCATTAATAAAAGCATGTGTGAATTTGAATTCCTTGGTGAAACTATTTTAAAGGGGACTGGAATACTCAGTTCTTTATTGTTTGGGTTGATTATTTCATGTCAAAAGGTGGATGGTTTGTAGTAGCATTTGGAAACCAGGCAAAAAATGTAACTGCATGCATACTAATTAAAATCGAACAACAGTTTATTCAGCCAGAGCATTTCGGATCCCGAGTTATCGTTTCTGAGTGCTTCCGTCAAGGCTTATTGAACTGGAAGCATAAGTATAACTATTGTAGGCGTCAAGTGTTAGAAGCAAAACTAAAATAAAATTGAAGAATTCGTGCTTGGAATGGCGATTGTAAAAGAGCTATGCATGGATATTCACGCTTAGCAGTTCTGAATCTTCTGTATGAATGTTTAAACTATTAATCATATCATTTTAATTTCTAGTTTTTTGGCATATCTGAAGGGTTGAACTGATGTTTATAATCATGTTACCTGATTCATTATTCTGTGGACATTAAAAGAGTATTTTAAACTAAAATCTTCACAAACTGCAATTTGGAGGATGAGCAAGTTGCTCGTGTGCATGATGTTGTTGTCTGTTGAGGTCTCATTAATTGTGAGAACTGCTATGCGTGTTACTTTTACATGTCGTTTAGGCCACTAAAACCATGAACTTTTTTTGTTAGATAGTTGTACGTAGTTACGCTGGTTGAATTGGTTACATATTATTCTTCAAGAACAGTTTGGATAAGCCAATTCATGCTAGCTAGTCTTATGTACTTGTATTTTGATTGTGTTCGTTAGAATTAGTAGGTGCTGTAATCTTCCAATTCGTCAACTTTTTCCGTGTTTGAATGAAGAAAGTATTTTGCACCCTAAGCTGTTCTATCAGAAATTGGGTTTTGGGAATGCGGTCAAGACACATTGGCATATCATTATATGTAATGTGCTATACTTGATGGACTGTATTCTATTCTACTTTACACTCTAGGGGAGGTAGAGTTAATTCTTCAAAATCGTTTCAAGTTGCTTATTGTTTTACATATGCTCCCTATAGTTCCCTGTAGGTCGTGTCCACCGGTTGCTGAAGACAAGGGCTCAAGCAAATGGAAGGGTTGGAGCAACAGCGGCCGTGTACACAGCTGCCATACTGGAGTATCTGACTGCAGAAGTGCTAGAACTGGCCGGCAATGCAAGCAAGGATCTGAAGGTTAAGCGTATTACACCTAGGCATCTGCAGCTTGCCATCCGGGGAGATGAAGAACTCGACACCCTGATCAAGGGAACCATTGCAGGCGGAGGTGTTATCCCGCACATTCACAAATCACTTATCAACAAATCTTCGAAGGAGTAGTTTATGTAATTGATCTCTGTTAGTTTTCGAATTGGTTTGAACCAGGAAACCTCGGGAAAAAATGTTTGCTCGCCTTTTTTACTGACAATATGGATACTTGTTATTCAGTAGCCAAATATGGATACATTGCTCAAATGCATTCATAGCCAATTTCCATAAATGTACAAATATATACCATTTTGCCACTCCTTTGAATGGAAAATAGATACTACTGTCACAAAAACATCAGTAATTCAAACCTCAACAACATGGAGATAAAAAAGAAAAATACAAGTGAGAGCTCTACAAACACCCCAGAGAATTAGGGTTAGGATAAGGCTCTGAACACAAAAAAATTTACCCAAAAGAAGAGGTCTGGTTCCCCTCGGCCTTCCGGGAAAGATTGCTTGAAGCGAGGGGAGGAAAGGAAAGGAAAAAAGATAGGAGCAAGAAATAAAAAGAGAGTATCCAACTAACTATGCTATTCTGGTTTGAGTAGCAATCTGCTTTTGAAAGGTGAAATGGCTGCAAGTAACGCCTTGGGGCATTCCTCATGCGGAAGATGGCCGCAGCCGGATATTGCAACCAGTCTCTGCATGGCAACAAATGTAGCTACATCAGGAAACAGGACAGTAGTTCATAAACTATCTACTCAACAGGTCTGGTTTGTTTATTGCAATTAAACATTCCTTTCCATTTGAGAGCAGAGAAGACCCATGGTTGCTGCATACTTACAGAATTTACAAGTTTTGAAGCCATGGCCTGCGAAGATTTAAGCGAAATATGGGCATCTTCAGCACCAGCAACCACCAATACTGGCATCTCTTCAATAGCTTTTAACAGCGATGTTGCATCTTGGGGTGAAAGTATTGTTTCATGTGACAACCTGCCTATCTCATGAAGTGCTTCGTCCCAACCTTCTACACATAGTGGGGCCTGATCAAAGGAAGATCAGTTCAGCAAATCATATTGCAAAACAAACTAGTAAGGGTATCAATTCAATGTTTTATAATCTTGCAGAAAATTTACCTTGTAGAAGCTCAAAACTTCTGTTGTTAACTTGATTGCATCATACCATGCGCGTCTATTCACCACTTGTGTCATGTCTGTTCGCAGAAGCGGACGGACTAAGTTCTTCTTCCCGAGTGAAGTGCACAAGAGTATCCTTGCAAAGGCGGGAACAACTTCTCTTGACAAGCTAACATTTAGCAAAACCACTGCTTTGATTGTAATCTGAGTAAACCAAAAAACAGGCGATAGAAGTAAGAACCGAGCTCAAAAGGTATTAAGCCGCTACTCTATTTTAAGATACCATTATGATAACTCTTTCCCATTCCTTCTATATGGATTTCTTAAGTAAAGATTAAGATAACAGTCACATATATGATGTTAGCTGGTCAATAAAAAGTTGACAAAGGCCAAATTCGCAAAATGACCCTTGCAGTAAAGTTTATGGAGAAAAAGTGATATTCCCCGAAAATGCTAAAAATAAAACCAGTAAACCAGTCACTTTTTGTTTATTTACCTATCTACTGTCAGTACAAAACACATTATTATAGCCAGCCCTGATATTTTCTTGTTTCAGCACTTCAAGTGGCTATACAACAGCAAAAAAGTGCCAATAAATTACATGTGTCGGTGAAACACTAGCCACAGTAGTGAATATAAGAAAGAGGCACTTCTGCTGTCAAAAATCCAAACTGGTACAGAAAAATCATGGGAGCTTACTCACATTGAATGAATTCATTGAGGTTTGGACTTTTTGTGCAGCCTTCAAAGCAAGCAGACCTCCATCATCATGGCCAACAAGCACCACTGAAGAAAACCCCATCTCAGAGCAAAAGGAAAGAAGCAAGTCAACCTGATAATATCAGGTAATACTTGTGAGCTTCAAATGATAGTCAAAAAGCTAAAACTAAACTGAAGATAAAAAAATTAGGAGAGGCAAAATGTGGCTTATAGAAGATTCTTCAAGTAAGATTAGAAATTCGAATACAAACATTATGAATGGAACAAACTGAATTGAGAGTATCTTTGTGATGAATTGAGATAGTTTAAGGAATTAGAGAAGAAGAAAGCGTAGAGAAAAGAGTAGAATAGAGATTCAGAAATAGGATTTCATTCAAAATATGCCTGATTGCCTTTACACAGTACGTTGTTTTATTTGTTTACAAGGTACCAACAATTCTAACTAAATGCCAGCTGTAGATTCCTGCATAACCGCTTTGTTATTTTTTCAGGTATTGGGCTCCCCACTGGGCTGACTGCTTGCTCTTGGACTCAGCTCTCCTGATGGTAATTCTCTCCTCTCCTTGTGCTTCTCACGTGATCATTAATCAGGTAACTCCTCCCCAATTCATTATCAATCCCTAACCCTTGATTTCCATTTCCCCCAATTTCCTCTTCGTCTCCTTCGCTTCTTCTCTCTTCTCTCCCTATCGTGACAATACCCGCCGCTGGAGATGATCCTTGTCCCCAAGGATCAAAGCCTGGAAACTGGCCGCGAAGGACAGTATAATCCTCCCAAGTATCGTGTGTTTCGTCAAGGTTTGTCCATCGTACCAACAACTGAGTCACTGGTCTGTTTTGACGATTAATGATTCGTCGTCCCAAAATTTTATATGGCTCTATTTTGAACTGATCTTCTGTATCCATGATAGGAGGATCCGTAGAGGAAACGACAGAGTCTCCAATATGTTTCTTCAAAAGACTGACATGAAAGACAGGATGCAACCTCGATGTCTCAGGTAAGCTCAATCGATAAGCAACTTCCCTGATTCTTTCTGTAATCTTATATGGCCCATAGAACTTCGCTGCTAACTTTAAATTCTTTCGCAGGGCTAATGTCGTCTGTCGATAAGGTTGCAGCTTCAGGTAAACAGAATCCCCAACTTCAAAAACTCTTTCTGATTTGTGCTTGTCTGCTTTTTGTTTCATTCTGTTACTTGCAATCTCAAGTTGTTCCTTAACTAACATTCGCATATCCTCTCTGCTGCGCATTAATTCATTGACAGACTGTACTTTAGTTTCTGTGTACCAAACCATATTAGGTGGTTTGTACCCATAAAGCGCTTGAAAGGGTGTAATCTTTAGGGCATAATGGTAGGTAGTATTATACCACCATTCTGCATGAGGCAACCATTTAGCCCAATGTCTTGGTTGAAAAAAACATAAGCTCCGTAGGTATTGCTCCAAACACTGGTTAGCCCTTTCTGTTTGACCATCAGTCTCTGGATGGTAAGCAGTACTAAATAGTGTTTTAGACCCCAATTGTTTCATTAGCTCTCTCCAAAAGAGACTAGTGAATATTTTGTCTCTGTCAGAAATAGCTAATTTAGGCTGTCCATGAAGCTTATAGACATTATCCAAATATAGTTTAGCCACATCAGCTGCAGAAAAAGGATGTGATAATGCTAAAAATGGTTATATTTGGTAAATTTATCAACTACTACCAGAATGCAATTCTTTCGCAAGGATTTAGGTAAACCCTCTATAAAATCCATAGTGATTACCTCCCAAGCCTGCTGAGGAATAGGTAATGGCTGTAAAAGCCCTGGTTTAGGAACATGCTCCACTTTAATCTGTTGACATACAGAACAAGACCTGATATAAGTTGCCACCATAGATTTCAACTTGGGCCAGTAGAAACAAGCTTTAATCTTCTGATAAGTAGCCTGAATTCCTGAATGTCCTCCAAGAGGTGAATCATGTAGGGTTTGAAGAATCTGCAATCTTAGAGTTCCAACAACCCCAATATAAACTCTATCCTTAAATCAAAGGATACCTCTAGAGTATTTCCATCTAGAATCTGCATTAGGATTGACAGTTAATACAGAGATCCATTCAGTAGCTACTGAATCCTCCTTATAGCTGTCCTCAACCTGTTGAACCCAACTAGGAATCACCAAGGTAGTACCCATTGTAAAACAGTGAGCTTGATCTTCCCATTGTCTAGAGAGTGCATCAGCCACTATGTTGGATTTACCTTTTCTGTATTGAATAGCATAATCCAAGCCCAATAATTTAGTTAACCCCTTCTTTTGAATGGCAGTGGTTAACTTATGCTCCAACAGATATTTGAGAGGTTCATGATCTGTTTTAATAATAAAAGGAGTACTCTCTAGATAATGCCTCCATTTAGAGACTGCTAGTAAAATAGCCAAGTACTCTCTTTCATATATGGAGAGTGCAGCATGTCTAGGGCTAAGAGCCTTACTAAGGTAGGCAATAGGTCTGCCCTCCTGAGTTAGAACTGCTCCAATGCCTCCTGAACTGGCATCTGTTTCCAAATAAAACTGCTTAGTAAAATCTGGTAAAGCTAGAACTGGAGCAACACACATTGCTTGTTTTAAGTCTTCAAAAGCATGTAAAGCTTCACTGTTCCATTTAAAATTATCCTTCTTAAGTAGTTGTGTCAATGGTTTACTGATAGTTCCATAATTCTTTATAAATCTCCTGTAATATCCTGTCAATCCCAAAAATCCTCGCAAAGACTTTAAAGATTTAGGAATAGGCCAATTCCTCATAGCTTCCACCTTAGTAGGATCAGTTGAAACTCCAGCAGCTGATATAATATGACCCAAATACTCTACCTGAGTCTGTCCAAAGAAACATTTGGACATCTTGGCAAATAACTGGTTAGTTTGCAATATCACCAAAACCAGTCCTAAATGAGTAATATGATCCTTCATAGAAGTGCTGTAGACTAGGATATCATCAAAAAATACCAAGACAAATTTTCGAAGAAATGAACTAAACAATTCATTCATTAGAGCTTGAAATGTAGCAGGGGCATTAGTAAGTCCAAAAGGCATTACCTTGAATTCATAATGACCCTGATGAGTTCTGAAAGTTGTCTTGTAAATATCCTCAGCTTTAATTCTGATTTGCCAATAACCAGACCTGAGATCAATCTTAGAAAAGTAAACTGCTCCATGTAATTCATCTAAGAGATCCTCCACAACAGGAATAGGAAACTTGTCCTTCACAGTCATACTATTTAACTTTCTGTAATCAACACTGAATCTCCAAGTCCCATCCTTATTCTTTATAAGAATACAAGGAGAAGAAAAAGGACTTTTGCTAGGTTGAATAATAGAAGATGAGAGCATGGTAGCTATCTGTTTTTCCACTTCCTCATTCTGATTATGTGGAAATCTGTAAGGTCTTAAATTTATAGGAGCAGACTCAAGTTTTAAAGTAATTGTATGATCATGATTCCTTATAGGTGGCAGACCTGTAGGTTCATCAAAAACAGACTGATATTTGTCTAAGAGGGGTTGTAGAGTTGCAGGAACAGTCTTAGAATCCTCAGACATAGATAACAGTACCCAATGTCCAAAAATAGCAGAATCAGAGGCTGTCATTTTTAACAGTGTAGCCTCTGAAATTTGTTGCAAAACATTTGAGGTTTGCTGACCATGTATAACAATGTTTTCATCTTGGTGGACAAAACTGAGAGTCAATTTGTTGAAGTCCATCAAAATTGGACTGAATAACTTCATCCAATATACCCCTAACACCATATCACTGCCACCCAATTTTAGGAGTCTAAAGTCATGAACAAAAGAATGTCCTTGCATCTGCCATTCAACCTTATTACACCTAGCTGAACTATAAAGTTGTTGTCCATTAGCCACTGTAATAGCCAAATGATAAGGTGTATTTACTAGAATACCAGCATCAGCCCACTGAGGTGTTAGGAAACTGTGGGTACTACCACTGTCGATCAAAATATTCAATGGTCTCCCTTGAATAGTGCCCTGAATCCTTAATGTATTATGGCCAATACACCCAGTGATAGCATTCATTGATATCTCTAGGCTCTCCTCCTCCTATATATTCTGCTGTTCTAGATCATTAGGTAACATTTCCGAAGGTATAACACTGTCCTCCTCAATCATCATATTCAACTGTTTAACCTTACACTGATGGCCTGGACTAAATTTTTCACCACACTTGAAGTATAAATTATTCCGTCTTTTGTAGTCTATCAAGTTCTGTTTTTGTGGAGTATTGGTTGTATTTTTCTGTGGTGATGGCAGCTGGTTAGGCTTAGAACCATATAGAGGAATTGAATAAGCTGGGTTTTTAACAAAAGGTCTGAACCTCTTGCTCTCAAATTCCACAGAAAGCTCATATAATTTAGCTTGCCTGCTTACCTCAGACAATGTTTTAGGGTCTAGAGCTTTAACTCTATGTTTAATGTCATCCCTTAGTCCACTAATGAACAAAGAGACAAAAAATTCCTCACCTAAAGTAGGATTCTGCAGAAGCATGTGAGGTTGTAGTTCTTCAAATCTGTCTTGATACTCCTCTACAGACCCTTTCTGGACTAGTTTTGTAAACTCCTCTACTATATCAACAAAGGCTTTATCACAGAACTTATGACATAAATCTGCCTCAAACTCATGCCAAGTCACATGATGTTTTTGCATAATATACCCATCAAACCAAATCTCTGCTTTACCTGTCAAGTACATTGTAGCTACTTCCACTTTTTGTTCATCAGCAATACTACATAATGAAAAATATTTTAGACATTTCTGTAACCAACCTCTTGGATTACTTCCCTCAAAAAAAGGTAGCTCAATTTTGGGTCTGTGCAGCATAATCCCTAACATACTAGAAGACCCCCCTGTACCTTTTTTATCCTCTTCTAAAGCCATTAACTGAGTTCTAACAGCATTGTTCTCCCCCATTTGGTTATCATTTTTGAAGCTAGCTATATGAGCAGGCAAGACGTTTGGTTTAGACTTAAGAATACCAGGTTCATCCGGTTTATAAGTAAACCTAGTCTTATCATTGATTACTGTCACCTTAATAGGTTCTTTGTTACTCATATTAGATGAATCCGGGGTCTGTACCTGATCCTCAG